TTATAATTTCAATTAATACAAAAATATCACAATTTGATTCACACTCCCTGTGGGTTCGACCCTTACTCGCCACTACTACTAGTTAGTAGAGGTTAGTCGAGGAAAATATAATTTTAATTTTGCCGCGTTGCGACGCGCGGTCAGAGAGGAACTCGGTCCTACAACTCCGGCTTCACCGACGAAAGACGCCATAGCCGTCGGAGCCCCGCCCCACCTGCTGACCCTTCGATCGGCCATCACCGCAGTCTGCCGGCAACCAAAACGAAAAGCCCATCGGAGCCCCCACCGGAGAAGCGGAACCGCCCAAGGAGAGCCCTCCAGCCACGACAATATCAGATTTAGGGATCAACCACCTACAATCGAGACCCGCCGACAATCGACACCACAAATTACTTAACCAGTAGCCACCAACTGAGGAGCTTACCATCTTCAATCACGATTTCGCCAACAACCAAGGGCAAGGCCAAACCATCAAGCTCCGATTCACTACAGCAACAACAAATGACCGAGGAGATAGGGGGGACGAGCGATCAAGGGCTACGGCGGGCCATAGCCTCGCTGTCGGCGAGGAAGGTAACACGGCGCGAAGAGGGAAGCGGACGGCGGGACCAAACAAAATCCCGCCGGCTACGCTGTCGGCGAGAAAGACAACGCGGCGCGAAGAGGGAAGCGGACGGCGGGACCAAACAAAATTGGATTTTGCAAGGAGAAAAAAATCCATAAAAAATGAGTACAAGCTACTGCGTTTTGTTTTTTTTTTTTTTTTTTNNNGACTAGTAAAGAAGCGCGTAGAGGAGCGAAAGAAAAATGGCGGGGTGGCAGAACAGTAACTTCACAAACCATACGAGGGTAATGTCGTCATTTGGTTCACTAACTCCTACTGTTTTCAAAGGTCGGGCAATTTTGAGAAAATACTTCACAGAAAATAGAAGAAAAAGAAAGTAGAGAGAGAGAGAGAGAGAAAGAGAGGAGCAGAGGGAGATAGCGGGGGAGCGTTTCACTTAGTCTGATATCAATGGCGGTTAGGGTTTCTCGTTGATATGGATATAGTGACCCAACCCGTATGACTTTTCATTTTGATGCTTTTTTCGTAGAAAAATCTCATCCCCTCGTCTAATTTTTTTGTTCCTTTTCAAAACCCTAATTCTGCTTTTGGTGGTGCGGCGATTTGAGTTCAGAGGCTTCTTTCCGTGCGGTGAATTACGCGAACTTGGTGAGGAGGCTGAGCTCTTAGGTTATTCACATGGGTTCGCAGGATAAATCCCCAAACTCCGGCAGCAATAACATGCAGGTCAGTACAGGAGAAGCACACAAGCAAGTAATAACAAAATTTCTCATACGTTAGACCTATTGTTGTATTTAACTCTTCCAAGTTTTAAATTTTGGTTCTTAATCTTTTCCTGAAGCTTCGCTTGTTTGCTTTGTGTTGTTTTGTATCACAAGTCTTGAGTGAGTTGAAGCACACCAGCAACGAGAAATGAAATCATTGTATTTTAGACTTGGGATTGAGTTTTGGAACTTTTATCTTTTCATGTTAGTCCTAAGGTTTTTGCTGAAGCTGTCACTAGTTGGTTGTACCTGTATTTTTTATGGTTAAAAGAGTTGAGTTGATTTAAGGCCGTACTTGATTATTAAAATGTTTATTTTTTGCAGTTTAGTGGGGAGCATTAGAATGTTTCAATCATTATGGGCTTAAAATCGGATATTTATATGATTGGTTTTGGTTTTGGCATTCACTGAGCGCCTTAAGGTCTTATTTTTGAGACAGACAACACATTAGGTCATTTGGTATTGTTTCCTGAGCCTGGTCTTTTCCCGGGAATATAATGTATTTTGCTGTCTAATAGGTGTATTGAATTCCACTGTTGAAATAGATGTTGAAGCCTTAAAGCAACACCAAACTAATCTAGATTGGGCGATGTATTGTGCTCTAATTGTCTCTGAATGGACTTTAGCTAATTTTCTTTGCATTTTTTATAATTTATATACATTCCATGAAGTTTGATAGCTATTATATTGCTACGTTTATAAGTGGTACAACAATCTAAAAACTGAGAATTCTTTGGCAAATTATTATGGGCATGTTAAAATGGTAGTGCTCGTGAGAGCTCTTTTGCAAAATCCCTTCTAGAAAATGGACTTAATTTATGGAAAATGAGTTTTCAAATAGTTTTCAGATCCTATTTTTCTAAATTGGAACTTTTGAGATGAAACTTATCTTTAAGTGCTTTCCAATCTAATTATGACACATAAATTAAATGTTGAAATGGACTTTAATATGAAAGAGTCATTTGAGAAAGGCTTCTAAACTAGCACTAATCAATTTATTAAGAACTACACTAGCAGTAGACAATTTATTAAGAACTATGTTCTACTACCTACTAATAATGAACATACTTACTATCAAATGTCAATTTCTTTTAATTTCTGCTGCTGGCGTTATTTCCCTTTGTACTTCAACTTGCTATGATTTTGCTTTGAAAATGTTGTACATTGCTTATATCTGTATAAAAGTAGCTGGTTTGTCCTTTCTCAACATTTTGGAGTTAGTCATTGAATTTGTACATGATGTAAGAATACTCATTTTCCAGCAGTTAAGATCTTCTCGATAATATAATGAAACAGAGACATTGGTTTACCATACCTGCTATATTTAAGTACTCAAGTGAAGCTGTAAAAGAGGAATTCCATTTTTAAAGTTTAAAATGGCGACGCCATGGCGTCGCCACCAGGCGAGGCGACCGAGGCGAGGTTCATCTCGCCTCGCCACTGCCTGAGGCGACCCGTTCGTGAGGCGCTCGCTTCAGGTCGCCTCGGCTCACCTTTTTGTGTCGCGAGAGGCGAGCAAAGGCGCGGCTTGGCAACCTCCAGGTATGTTAAAGGCGCTCTAAGTTTCTATTAAAACAAAAAGAAAAAAAAAAAACCATGTAGCAATTTTGTGGAAAGAAGAGAGAATAAAAACAGAAGGGCTCCTCTTCATTTCCCACACACCTAGAACTAGGTTTTCTCAGACAGAAAAGAAAAAAAAAAAAGAAAAACATAGAAGAAATTTGTTGAAACAGAAACATACACGATGCCAATGAATAAATGAGAGTACATTTCCATATAATTATATAGAGATGTTCAACTATGAGCCAATGTTTAAGGGGGGAAAAGAAGAAAATACTCTAATACTGTCTTACACAATACAAACAATACTACTAAAAAAAGATGATTTAATACCGTCTTACACAACAAAGACATACTTTAGCCATTCAAATTATGAATATAATCAATAATAATGTTGTTTCAGAAAAATGCTTAAGTATAAGTTTTACATGAAATGACGGCCATTTTCCATAAGATTTGTTGCTTATGTATTATTTTTACTTAAGATCATAAATGGTGTTTGTGCTATGGACTTGTATGGACATGTTGCTTGTTGCTTATCTTTAGTATTTAACTATGTGTGTGCCAAACTTTATGTATTATTTTTACTTTCTTAAGTGGTGTTTGTGCCATGGACTTGTGTTTCATTTTGTTCTTGCCTTTTTGAGAGGTATTTGATGTTATTTTTATCATATGAACATAAACATATAATTGCACTATCTATAATATTGTTTTTATACATTTTGGTGACATGCGTAGCCGAGGCCTCGCCATGGCGAATCGCCTTGCCTCGGGGCAAGCCCATGGGCCAATCGCCTCGCCATTTGCCTTTTAAAACTATGCGGTGTTCTATCCTTCGAATGCCAGTATGTCACTAATGTGGTCTGGCCCTAATTTGAGTGAAGATGAAGGAGGGAATAATTGAGAAAGAACAGCTTTAGAATTAAGAGTTATTTAGTATGTATCAACACTGGTTCATTTAAGGCTGTGGTGTTCATAAAGGTTATTTGGTCTGTCGAGCATTATTTAACATGTTTAGTCTCCCCTCCCTTTAATCAGTGGTTTCACTCTCGTTATGGCAAGATATTTTAATTTATTGCTCTCTTAATTTTGGCTGAGTAAAATAACCCATCTTTAGTTTTATATTTGTTAGACAAGATCAGTTGCTGTTCATGGATTTTAAATATTATAGCTGCTGCACACAAGATGATCGAGACTCATTTTTTCTGTTCGTCATGCTTAATACAGTGTGGTGGCAGCACTTCAGTATCTCTATTTTTGGACTCATTTTTACTTTTTGGCGGCTTTGACCTTCCATGCATCGTGTTTTCTGCACTTCGTTTATATTGTTTCTTATGATTTTTTACTTTGTTGGGATTCTCTTTATATGCATTGTTAAATGTTGATATTACTGAATAGCTTGACTGTGTTTCAACTTTAACTATTTACTATTAAAGTAGTTTATTTTCGTAGTTCTAATGTTTGTCGTTTCTTCTTTCAGCGTGTAAAAGTATACAGATTGAATGAGGATGGCAAATGGGATGATCAAGGAACTGGCCATGTCACCGTTGATTATCTGGAAGTATGACAACCCATCCACTCCTTTCCCCCAACTAAAACTGTTTTAGAAATTTGAAACATTGTTACTATTGGTGCAGAGATCAGAAGACCTAGGGTTGTATGTAATTGATGAGGAGGATAATGAAACATTGCTGTTGCATCGTATTAGTGCAGATGATATCTATCGTAAGCAAGATGGTATAATTTGCAATCGCTTCCTCTAATTTAAATGAGCTTTTTACTTGTTTCTGTTTCTTATGATATCATCTCACAACTCCAGATACAATTATCTCATGGAGGGATCCTGAATTCTCAACTGAATTAGCCCTTAGCTTCCAAGAGACAACCGGTTGCTCCTACATATGGCTAGTATCAAATACAGTGTGTTATTTGATCAAGTTATTTTTCTATCCCTTACTATTTTATTTGTAAGCTCAGATTTGTTGTTCTTTTGTCCCATATTTGCTTCATGCAGGGATCAAATTTGCACTATGCAGAGGAATCTGCAATTTACCTCTCTAACCAGTAAGTTCTCTTGAGAGGGATTAGTTTCTGTAATTGGTTCCGCATATCTTCATAGTGTGTTTGACTTCTTATTTCCAGCCCTCTCCTGTACAAACTATTAATTTTTTTTTTTTGTTTTTTGCTCATAAATATGTCCCCCAAGAAGATATTCCTGGAACGAGACTAGTCGGGATTTGATTGGTTTGATTTGAGTAAGAAGTTGATGTAATGGAAAATCCATGTAAATGTACAATGTTTTTGATGCTGAACTAAACCTGGTTTATTTCAGAAGTTTGGTGGAATATGAGGATACAAAATGAATGCATTCTCTAATCTTGTAATGAAAACAGAGCAGAAATAAAAAAAATTCCTGGAGGACTACGCTTCACCTTAATCAAATATATTCTCTCTTTCGTAGAAACAGTTTCAGAGTAATGAATATTTTACGGGTAGTTATGAGGGAAGCAGGAAGGAAATATGTTATTACTGATAACGAGTAATTGATAAATGAGAGCAATGTGATGTAACTGAAGAATATTTTTTGTACTTTTTGTCATTGTGTACTTCGATTTTCTCTTCGTAAATTCCTTTAGTTGGTGCATAAGATGATAGCAATGATGATGATACATTGTATTTTTTTTGGAAATGTTGAGGTTATATGGACATGTTATCCATGTAATTGGAACCACCGTGCCATAAGAATGTAATTTTATGGGTTAATTTGAATTGCTGTATACGTCTGATTGTGTCACTAGAAATGGCATCTGGGCAACAAATATATTTGGCTAGCTGTCAAAAGTAATGGAACTTAGCGCTTACCGTTTCACCGATGCTCAAGCCAAACTCCCAACTGATTATTGTAAATTTTCCTGAACCCCGGGTATCTGACATGGAGTTGCTGCACCTAGAAAAGTTAAGATTTACCACGTAAGTCTAGCGAGTAGTGACTTATGTTTCTAGGTTCTAATCTTCAGGTGAGACGTTCCCTAACGTTGCCAATGAGCTGAAGGAGTTGCCACCAGTTGAGCTGTCCACTCTCCCGTTGATACTTAAGGTACCAGCTGATATGCGCCAACCTCTTCCACAATATCACCTGAATATCATGCGCTGTAAATTTGCTTGCAGTTATCATGATTCATGGGAATGATGGTCAACTTCTTTGTACTCCAATCTTTCTACTGTTTTCTTGTGTTTTTCTTTAGGCCCCTTGTTTTTTCATCATTCTTCATTGTACAGAGACTATTCACTCTTGTTTCTTATTTTACAGATTATTGAAGGCAGTCTTGCAGATCAATCGCGGGTGTCTGAACTTATATTGCAGGACGTAAGTACTTCCAGTATATTACGTTGGATAATGATATATTTATTATATACAGTGCTTACTTTGGGAACGTGCCTCAGCATAGTG